TTTCCCTTTCCCTTTCCCTTTCCCTTCCCTTCCCTTCCTTTTCCTTTCGTTCTTTCTTTCTATTCATCCATCCATCCATCCACCCACCTGCCCATCCATCCATCCATCCATCTAGAGGACTTTCTAATTTGCTACTCAGAACATAGCCCCTTCCCTCTTTGTCTCAACACTAATCATTCAGCAAATCTCAGCGTAATTGCCAGTTCTTTGTCTTAGGGAACTGTTTTCCCAGCAGCTTAATTTGCTTCTTTGGATTTAATGCCAGTGCATTTTCCATTTGTTTCTTTTTCACCCACAATATATAAGCACTTTGAGTTCAAAGGATGTATTTATGTTCATTGTTCCATTTTCAGTTCTAGACATGTACATGGAATTTAACTCAGTACTGGATGAGCTCAGACCCTTTCAACCAGCAGAAGCTCCAGAGGATGTCATGCACGTGTGAGAGTCAGCTTTCAGGGTGTTCACGGCTGGCTGTAATTGGGAGAAATGGGGACTGGCAGGCGTTCAACAGAGTGAGGACATCTGAACTCGGTTGGGTCTGTGGTGAGGATGGCGTGGCTTACCAGCCAAAGGCTCATGCGGTCGTCGTAGCCAAGGAGGGTCTCGATTTTGATCTGTGAGATAAATACAGTGTCAAAGCTGACAGAAAGTGGTCCATGGGTCAGTTCCTACCTGAGGCAGGGATGGGGTAGGAGGGAAGAATGCAGAGAAGATTAGGAGTTGATCAGAGATAGTTATGAACTAGGGGAGAAGTGGAGCTGTGGAGTTTGGGAGGGGCCGTGTTTTGGGGGACAGCACTCCATAGAAAATGAGCAGATCCCTGCTTCCCACCCACAGGCATTACACTCCCAGCCCTTTTTAACTTGGAGACATGGTCTCATTAAGTCTTTTTAAGTTGCCCAGGCTGGGCTGAAACCTGCAGTTCTCCTGCCTCAGCCTCTTACTGTGCTGGGATGATGAACCCCTGCCACATCCCCAGCTTGAAATTAGATTCTTCCAATTAGAGAAAAGCCTGTGTTTGGAGACTTGTACAGTCCTGTGGCAGTTTCTAATTTGCACATAAACTTTCTGTAGTCCATCGTAAGACCCCATGGCCTGCTGCTTCTGGAATGGTGGCGCTGGATCTGCAAACCCAGGCCAGGCTCCGGCATGTCCTGTTAGCTGTCACGTTGTTCGGGAGGCCTACCGTGGCCAGCAGCCTCATCTCCCCAGGAAGCAGTGCCAGCACTACACGCTTGATATGCAACCTGGGAACGGGACAGAAGGCTGCTGTTCAGTGGGCACAGACAGTGTGTGTCTCTCTCCTGCCTCACACAGGAGGGAGGCTTTGGGTCTCTGAACATAAACATGTCAGGCATTTAAACCAAACCTTTAAGGTCAGAGAGAAGCCAATGAGAATGCTTCTTGAATGCAGGTGCTGTGGAGCAGTACAAGTCTTTTAGTAAAATGTACTGTGGAGTCTGACAAAAAGCTTTTCCTTATGAAAGAGAAAACGGTAATTGCTCAGGGTCCGTGTTTCAGAGTCGGGCTGCTTTGCTGGCCAGGACTCTTGGTGAGGGAGAGGATTTGCCAGGCACAGGGAGGCCTCAGCCTCTCCACCCAGAGCGAGCCCTGCAGGTCATAGCCGAGCCCCTTGTGCGCTTGGGCACCCCCGGGGAGGCTCCAGTCGAGGGGACCAGTTTCATGAGTCATCTTGTGCACACTCACTTCCTGATTGTCCCGCTGAGTTCTGACTCTTCCTCCAGCCAATCTGCTTTCCACAGTGGATACACACTGCTCAAACGGAGCAGCAACCACCCCCACTATCAGTGTCCCAAAGCCACGCAGGAGCAAGTGCAGCCTGGCAGCCTGTGTAGGACCCTTACGTAAGTCACCACCCCTCACAGAGGGCACAGGAGAGCCATCCTGTCCAGTTACACAGCAGTGCAAATGACCAACTTGGATGATTTCAAACTCTGGCCGCTGTTTGAACATTGCTGTGTGCAATTGAAGTTTTGAGAGGCAGCTCATGGGAGGTCCCTCTGTTCCTTCCAGCTTCCAGATGACACCAAGACTAAACAGCGCGCCTGAAGTGACACAGCTGGGTCCTAGCAGAACTGGGATTAGAGCCCTTGATGGTGCTACTCCAGATCTCGAGCTCTATCTGATTACACGGCTCAAGGAGTGGAGGCTTTGGTTTTGAGCAAAGGGTGGTGAGGTTGTTTTCCACCAACCTTTCTGCTGAAAAAACTGGAAAAGAAGTAAGGCATCCACGTCTAGGAGGGCTGTGGAGAAAGCGGGGGCCTGTGTGTTGTCAAGCAGAGATCTGCGTTACTGGTTTTTCTCCTCCAGCCACTTCGCCAATTCGAGTGCAGTGGCTGAGAACCTAAGCAGAAGTTTTAGAGGACTCTTGGGACCAGATATAGAGTTCAAAATCCAG